AAAAATCATATAAAAAGTTTTTGGAAGTAAAAAATACTGTGTAAAATTAAGTGACACAATTTTACTTTTTTATTAAAAAATGACACAATGTCACTTTTATTAAAAAGGTGATGTTTGTCATTAAAAAAGTGATGAAAATTTCAATAAAGTGACCCAAAAAAGTGACAAATACTAAAAAAGTGGCGATTCGAAAAAGCACAAAGATTCAAAAAGTGACAGAAAATAAAATAAAAAGTGACAAATATTTAAAAATTACAAATTTTTTTTTAAAAAAAAGTGAAAAACTCAAATGGTGATAAAAATTAAAAAAAGTGATACAAATTCAAAAAAGTAACAAACACTTAAGAAAGTAAATTTATTAAAAATGATAGACAATATCACATTTATTAAAAAATTACATACAATGTCACATTTGTTAAAAATTGATTTTCGTTACTCAAAAGAGTGACAAAAATTTCAAAAAGTGACGATAACTCAAAAAAGTGACAAATACTCAGTAAATTTAAAAAAAGTGATAAAAGCTTAGAAAAGTGACGGAACATCAATCAAAACCTTAAAATATTTTATTTTATGCAAATTCAACTATTTCTCCACCGCCAACAACACTCCACCTCCACCAAGTCCAACCCTTCGAGCAAAAGGTCACCTAAAACACTAACCTTCGATTTTATTTGAGACTTTATAAAAGGATGTATAAGCACCAAAACATGACATTTGTATTCAGTAGCAATTCTATTCTACTAAGAAATCATTTATTATAGCAATGACAACGAATCAATTGGACTTGAACCAGGGGCCTCATCTAACCCATTGTCCAACAAAAACTAAAAAAAACTTGTTTTTCTTTTCTTTCTTGAATACTTGTTCTACACAATAATTTCTACATTTTCTAGAAAGTTTTCATACTTGAGCTAAAAACAGAGTTGGAATATAAACAGGGATAAATATAGGAGAGTCACTCTATGCTGAAAGTTACAAGAAACAGAAACTGCTTCGCTACAATCTAATAATCAGATCACTATCATGAAAAACGCTGTTGTCGAAAACAAATTTGATGGCAAAATATTTAGTTTTGGAAGGTCTTCTCTTTCTGGACAATTAACGCCAAAACGATACATGTTTTCTTTGCAACTCTTTAACTTGTTCTTCATTTCTTTACTGCACCACCTAAGAAAACTCACATTTTGCAGAGGTTCTCATTTTCTAGAGGTCAAGCAGGGGGACCATATTACTGATCTATTGTGCCTTACACATAAGCAAGCACATGGCCCCCACTTTTACTTGTTATAGGTTCTTCATGAAGACTTGGTTATAATATTTGACTACTACTGCTACAAACAAAGTTATGCGGACCTAACATCGGCATGGGGGCTTCAAATTCAGTAGATATCAAATTTTCAGCTAAACTAATGTTCTTACTAGTATAATCTTTCAACAAGACAACAGTAGGTATCACTAAGATAAAGAACACCTGCTTTGGCACCAAAAGAAGCACTTGAGGTGTTATCGAAAACCAAGCTTCAGTTTCGTTTGACTGTGTTCGAGCATAGCATGGTTATTCTCGCCATGAAAGCCAGCGTCGCTCTTAACATAATGAACGCCTCCACCTCAACGCACCTATTCCCAAACAAGGATTTTTCATTCCCAATTCTAACAACTCTCTGCAAGTGTTATTCTGCTCTCCTGGTAAGAATAAATTTCCATCTAATTAGCACTCCAAGCTGAAAAAAAAAAATAAAAAAAAAAAAAACTAGATTACGTTATTTCATTTTTCATGATCAGAGGACTTCTGCGGTTTGAACGATCCTACTTATTCAAGTCTCTTTCTTTTATTAGCGAAACTCCTATCCATAAGAATAGATGGTTGTTTGGTTCTTTCCAGCCCTTAAACTTTGGTTCAAGCACGGGAATTGAATTGATGTTCTCAGATATTACAAGAGTTGATGAATTAATTGAATAGAGAACTTAAACTTAATTAACATATTCATATGGGAATTCATATTGAGCAATCAATAAATTTAAATAATGGAGGACTCTATCATAAGAAACCGGGTATAACATTGACATTTAGTTTTTGGACAGAAATCTCAACTTGAAAGAGGCACTCTTGTTGTAGTAATCAAATATCGACAACAAATCCAGGCAAGCATTAAGTCTATCTTTAGACCAACTCAATGTTTGCATAATGGGAAACTTTATAGTCGTCATATATTTACTACCACAAGTGTGTAAATAATTCGGTCAAATATTGATCTTCCTTTGGACTGATGAATATCTGTATGAATTACGTACATAAAACTTTCCTAATATTCCAAATAAATTAATTTAGACGAGATATTACACTGGTATCATGGTGTTTAAATTAATCTATTTTAGAAAATTAGTAATCGGAAATAAACTCTAATTACCAAGATTTGAAAGTGATTGTCCCCTTAGTCTTTTAATTTTTAATTTTTTATCTTTCTTTTGTTTTCACAAAAAATAAAATAAATTATAATGTTTATTTTACTTCTTGATTCATAGTCTTGATTCTTGAATTCCTTAATCTTGATTTTTAATTGTGGATTGTCTGTTATTGATTGTGAGATTTATGGATCTTCTTGTTCAATATGCTTTCTTTATTAATTATTGTGTTGATGAGATGACAAAAAAAAGAGAAATTGCACAGAATTTAAGACCATAACCCTACATATAGCCCTTGTTTAATTCCATTTTTTGGGATAAAATGTATTATAAAATAGTAATTTTTTATAGGATGTGTAGTTAAAAAATAAGGAATTTTTTTTGAAATTCGTGTATAATTATTTTATAGAAGAATGTGTGGTTAAAAATGAGTTTTAAAAAAATGCAATTCTTCAAAAAATGGGGAGCAAACAAGGGCATAGTTTCCATTTATATTTCGTTCATCATGAAATATAATTCTAAAAAAATCTGATCTCTATACATATTATTCGGCCCACACTTTATTTAGATATTCAAAGTCTATTTAATTCTTTATTAGGTAGCTTAAGGAGGCTGTCCTTGACTTGAGGGTTAGAGCGAAAATGATTATGTCATTATTTTAAAAAAATTATGTGAGTGGAAGAAAATGGAAGTCACGTGATCCCACCTGGATTTGTCAGTACGGGAAGAGTCAAACCCTTCCACTGAATCATCAAATGCCCGGCATTTATTTCCTCCTTTCCCACTTCAAAATGAAGCTATGCTCTGTTGCTTTCTTTGCCAGCAGCAATGGAAACTGTTACTTCACATCCTTTTCCTTTCGACAAAGAATTTGTCTAGTGGTACATAATGGAGTGTATCGAATGATGTACACCCCACTCACATAGGTGTTGGACCAATGTAAAAGAAATAATATTTTATTCGAGTGGGTCCCTCGTACATGTGAGTGGAGTGTACACTATTAGGTACACCTCGATGTACCACTAGCTATTTTATGAGGCCAATTCTCGTATTTTTACAACGACGTCGTCCAAAAATAAGAGTTCTGCGACCATACCTTGATAAATGAGTCATAATCCCCATCAGGTGCCCAAATTTCTCCTTCCAATGTGGGCCCCACCAAATTATCCACGTGATACACCCGTGACCACGATAGACCAAGTACAATTCATTCTCAGTATGGAGTTAATTAACATGTGCGTTCATATAAAGGCTGACTGGTTGAGTACCATAGAATTTTCTAAGCCTACGACCATAGATATGTCGCACTATATCATTTTTAGGCCCCTATTCGATTTAGATAAAAATTATATTTTTAGTAAATTTTAATTATTGACTTTAACTTGAATTTTAATTAACTTTTTAGCTAAGTTAAATAGAGCTATATATTCATGGTTCGATCAACTTTACGAGTATGGGATTTTGTCTTTTCCTTTCCATCGATACACTTTATTTTAGTTTGAAAATAATGAAGGAAAAAGTGTTCGTGGGCTATTAACATTTTTGAGTAAAAAAAAAAAAAAAACCTTTTCACCATGTATGCTAAGTTCTCTCTCTCTCTCTCTCTCTCTCTTTTTTGTATTAACAATGAAATAGTTCTTTTTGTATTGACAATTCAGATTGAAAAATCTGGAAATTATCTCCAAAAGAGTGAGCATTGGAATATTTCTAGTTTGGATGTGTGGCAATAAAGTCCAAAGATGCAGAAATGTCCAACACAAAGCACAAAGACTGAGTGAGATGACAAATTGGCTTCATTCCCACAAACCCACAAAAGACCACGACCAAGGTCTCGATTCTATTTAAGATTTGATTATCACATCCATTGCTCAATGCCAAATTACCAAGTCATGCCAAAACCAATCAAATCTTGGACCCTGTCTCATCTTAATCCACATATTTTGTAAAATCCGTAAATAATATCTATTATCATCAATAATTTATATCTATTTGTAAATACTCGCCAAAGATATGCTAAATTATTACAAATCTTTTAGTTGATGATCCAATTGAGCAACATTTTGACCAAACTGAAATTTTGGTAAACCTTCTCTCATCTCTCCCGGGTGGTAAACCTGTAGTGACTAGTACGTTACATGAAAATGATGCATTTATAATGACTTATTTCATGCTTACCAGCATGACTAATGTACTTTATCTCTTTCATGTTTAAGTGCTTCTTGAAAATTTTTATGGGAGATTTCGATAAGAAGCCCATATTTTGCCCAATGTATAACTTGTTCAAGTTTATCATCAAATAAATCATACGATTTCATTCGGTATTTTATATCAAACATAGTAGTTGAGTAGGTTTTTGCAGGTGGTTATTTTCCTTTGGAGTTAGAATCTTGGACCAGTCAAGATTTCATCTTCAAGTGTTATACGAATCGAGCATTGGAAGGACCGTTATAATATTAAATAAAATTGTACATCAAAAAGTTCACCACGCCACCCCCCCCCCCCCAACNCAACAAGTTCCCCCCCCCCCCCCCCCCCCCCCAATCTTGTTTATCTGATATAAATACAAACATCTACTGCTGCACTAAAAAACAGTGGTCGAGGGTCCCTTGTGATATTTATTATTGAGAGAGAAAATTCAATTTTTTTGGAGAGAGGGTATCCCAATTCCCACCTTATGTTAGCATTTTTTCTGCCCAGTTCCATACTTCCATGGCATGTTTAGATATGTACAACCAAAATTCTGAACACAAAGGCCTTGGCGGGGCTCCTCCAATGAGCCCCAGAATTTCCTTCTCAAATGACTTTGTTGAATCCAGCAGTAGCCGTAGCCATTCTCAGCAGCAGATTAGTGCACCTGTGTCCTCAGATTTTGAGTTTTCTGTGTCAAATTATTCAATGATGAGTGCTGATGAGCTTTTCTTTAAGGGCAGGCTCTTGCCATTTAAGGAAAGTTCAAGCCAGAAGATTACTACTCTGAGAGATGAATTGCAAAATGGAGAAGATGAAGAAGGTGTGGGTTTTTCATCGAGGCCTCCCAAGAATTTTACCAGATGGAAAAAAGGCTTTTTAGGACTAAGAAAAACAAACACTGGGTCCAAGAAATCTGCAGATAAGAGTGAAGGATATGTAGAAAAAAGGACTGGCTTTCATCATGAGGATACTCAATGCAGCAAAAGTTCACAGGTATGTATTCTTCATTACACATTCAGACCATGTTTGGTAATGTTTAATCCACTTTACTTAACAAGTTTTTGTAGCTTCATCATGCTTTTCTTGATATAGTTTTTATACAATTTTTTTTTTCTTTTTTTGCAGGATTCTGTTGAATGATGATGGGAGCTAGGGAGGGACGAGTAGCAGGAACTTGAGTTTGACTGTATTGTATTGTATTTGGTCTGTAGAAGTATCAGACTATTTTTGGGTACCTAGGAAAATTGGGCTGACTTCTGTTTTAGATGAGGTTTGGGTGAAGAATTATGTGAAATAACCTATTTGTATTAGTTAAGTTGGCATGGATTTAACTTTTGGTTCCTATTTTATCTGTTATTTGATAAATTAGTTTTTTTTTTTGTTTCAATCATGTAGAAGTGGTTTATCAGTTTATATTTAGCTGCTCTGTACAAAATTGTTTTGATTTGAGGTCGAAGAACTCCTTTTCAAGTGCTGGTGCAGTCCACTAATGGGTTCGCGCATAACATGTTTGATAAGTAGTACTAAGGAAATTAAAAACAATCCTATAAAGAAGATTTTTAACTTGTTTTTCTCATAAAATATTTTGCAGTCTTGATCGTGTCTAGTGTTTCGCACCAACACACTCTCAATGGAAAACAAGGATTCTTTTATATATATACATATTTTCAGATCAATAAAATCTGCAATTTGAGTGAAATCGAGATGAAAAAAGGAAGTTCAGAAATAAAATAATGTTGGGAAATTAGAAATAGCAGTCAACGTGCCAGCTAATGTAACAGCTGGTTCCTGTGAACAGACCAAGATTCAGAAAAACAAAAATAATCTGACAAAGTGCAAATGGGTATTCAAATGGTGCCCAGACTCCACTATCTGTTTTCTGTTTCTGGTAAGAAAAGAGAGCCACGGCTCATGGCATTGGCTGGCATCTCGACAACCTTCCTTCCTGCCATCAAATTATTCAAAAACTTGTACTATTTTGAATACATTTCCATGAGATAAATCTTAAAAAAAAAAAAAAGGTTGAACCTAACCTTGAGGCCCCGCTCCTAGAGTTTTGTGAGGGAGGTAAATCGCTGAATGTGCCATAACAAGTCAGAGACCAAGAACTGTTTGTACACTGTGCCTACAAGGAATCCAATTTCATGTCTCAAGAATCGAACTCCCACACTGTGGCTGCCAGCAAGGCGTGAGATAACCCTACTTCTATCATTTGTACCACTGGACTATGCTCCGGGAGGCTTCCATGAGATAAATCTATCTCATAAGAGGTGCTTAGTTAGTGCAAGACTTGAAACATCGAGTAACACGTGCACGAACAACGTTTTCAAATTTCAGCGATTTCCAAGTAACACCATCTGAAGAAAAAAAAATGTGATAGCTAATTCTACATCGGTTGATTGAGTTGTAGAACTTGGGAGATTGCAGCTTAGAGTTATAGGGTTTGTTTTCGAGTATTTTTAACTTTCTTTTTGAGTCAAACTTATATAATAATGATGTTCTTATTGATTGAGAAAAATCTATGAGAAATAGCGGCTGGCATCTTCCTTCACAATCTCGCCCTAACTCCAATCACCCCTAAGTCCACTCAAACCACAACATTTGTATCTGGCTCCAGCTTCCCAACTTCTAGCACTAACCATCTAGAAGCGTGAAAAAGGCAACCATGACCATTTAACTTGCTGCCATTCAATCTATATGATAGTTTATCCGCAATCAAAAACTTTATCTCGTAGAAAGGATTCTTCATTCGTACCTGGAATGAGGAATGATTTTCCAAAAAACATGAGCCTTGGAGTCTAAACTTGTTGTCTTCGCCATTGAAAACCGATAAACTTCGAGGATTGGAAGGCTTCATATGGGCAGCGACTCAAGAAAATGCATCTTTCTATAGCAGTACCCAGAGTGCACTCCCCACTTGCCTTATCCTCGCCAGAACGCAAGTTGTCGAAAAAAAAAAACTATAATATATTTAAGTAATAATTATGAGATATTACTAATTGACAATATTCGTTAAGTGTAACTAATGCTTTGGAGACAAAATTTTGATTATATCATGCTTTTGTTTTGTGGGGATTAAAATTAAATTTTTAATAAAATTTGATAAAATTGAAAAATTGTGAAACCAAGAAAAATATTGTTAAAATTAATTGTTGATTTTAACTTAAATTAAAACTTGATTTTAATCCCTACTAAACATGTCAACATCTCTTGGGTAGTTATGGTGTGTGTGTGTGTGTGTGTGTGTGTGTGAGAGAGAGAGAGAGAGAGAGAGAGAGAGAGAGAGAGAGGAGAGGAATTTAAATGGTGCCCACCCAGCTGTTCATGGGATCACTCTTGGGCCAGTGTTGGTGGTGACCGTCAAAGAATTGGGCCATAAACTGTGCCTCTAGTTTTTAGTATCAATCTTGGGTCATACTTGGAGAGGACCCTCAAAGAATTGGGCCCTAAACTTTTTCAGTACATCTTAGGATCAACGGGGGCCTGATTTTTTAGGACCCAGAGAAAATTACATAAATAGGCCATTATAGTGAGCTTGTAAAATAAAACATATTATACGATTACAAAATATTGATTTTTTTATTTTTAATTTTTAAAATGTAAGTGAGATGCTATTCCATTATCTTAGGGAATATTAATTAAGATATCCCTTGATTTAGGGGTCTAAAAGAATTGTTATTTATGTGTAACAATCATAATTTCAATATATAATAATTATTTACAAATCAAAAGATAATTCAAAAGAAAAACTGAAAAATTTTCCCTAACTAATTCACCTTTAGCGGATGCAAAGTTGAATCAAAGTACTATCCAGTAATTATTTACATATGTTGTAATATTGACCTACGGTGATTTTCAGATTTTGTTTTCATTCCCATAATCGGTCCTATTTTGTAGTTAGTTGAATTAGTCACAGTGAATGTAACCTAATACTTTTTTATTTTTTATCTGTAAATAAAATTCGTTGTTACTTCACTTTATAGCCGTGGTTAAATAACTTCGACTGTAAATGTAAATGTAATATTACAATTATATATTATTCGTAGTGTGTACAAAATACTGGCTTGTCCAATGCTTACCTAAGCTTAAAAATGTTTAATTTTTTCAAATATATGATATAATGGAGAGTTAAGCCACTCGACCTGCGGGAGTGATCATGGGAATGATCGCGCCCTCACATGGAATGAGTGGGTCCCACATGAATTAAAAAATCCCACCTCCTGTCATCCTCGCGATCACTCCTGTGATTCTTGTAGCATAACCCTATAATGGAATGGAATGGACCACAATGCATGCAAATTTACGAGGTTAATCAGCAGATAGCCGCTAAATGGATTTGATGAAATCCAATAAGAAGGCAATTAATTAAGTGTTTACTTTTCTTTTTTTATTAATTTCGGAGCCTCATTGGGATCCCAAATATTTTTAATTACAATAGCATTAGGTATATCTTTACTTTAAGCACGTCGTTGATGTTCACCCAAATCATTTCATTTTTCTAATTAATGCATATCCTTTCACTTTACATACAAGCCCACGCACGTGCTTGTCACCATTATCGGCTTTGTTTTTTTAGTATTTTAGTCCGTATTTTTGGATTTTGTAGATTTAAATTATGTACATTTCTAGCTTTATCACGTGAACAAGGACGATAGTAATTTAGAGTTGATCAATAATGATGTCTATTCTCATTCTTGTAACAGAATATGTGTATTAGAGTTATTTAAAACATTTTAACCCAATTAATATTAATTTTTTGACCGTTATTTCACTATTTCAACTGTTATTTTTGAATTCTTCTCTCACAAATAGGACATATTTTATATCTAAAGGTCGAAAAATCAATTAACAAAATTCCTATCAAACAAGCACTAAAGCTCACTAGTAAATCATGTTATAAGACACATGAATTCATATAAAGGGGCTCAAGCAAAAATATATCACCAAAAAACATTTAAGATCATGCAGAGCAAACTCCAAATTACGACATAAAAAACAAAAAATTACAAACCAAGAATAAGGAAGTACTAAATTGGATAAATGCAAAGAACAACATATATTCATTCATTTGAAAATAGCATACCTATCAATGTTATCGACTTCTCTTTCAATTTCATTGTTTCTTTTGCATCCCATCAGGTTGTTGGGTCATGATGAATGAATTTTAAAAATAAAAAACTTGTAAAAAAATAAAATAAAATGGCTTCAGAGTCAATATCCATTCTTTTGATTTAATAATCAAGAATCGTTTGGAATGCAGTCGGTTCTTGATTTCAATTCTTAATTTTTCTCTTAAATCTTAGTTTTTTGCTCGGAAGGTTCAATTCCGATTAAAATACCCACCCTTTTTGCTCGATATTTTGATTCTAAATTTTTGATGTCAAATAAAAATATTTTATTTTATTTTTAAATTTTTGTTAGATATTAAAAAGTGTCCAATACAAATAGCAAAATCCTTCCTAAAATTTCAAGACTCAAACGACATTGTTTGGTCCATCATTGTCATCGACTAGTTCACGTAATCCATTCAGTCCAGTGCAGTTTTATTGCAACCAATTTAGCAATAGGTAGCATAATTACATCTTGAAAGGAAAGATGCCTGCCTATGGCTATAGGCGCATTAGCAATTATTAATTGGGAAGATGCTTTGCATCTGGTGCCACTCCCCTTTCCCCTCTGTTACGAGATTCTTAATCATTATTGCCTGCTCTCGCACTAACACCAACATGTGACAAACAACTCTTCCCTTCATTTACAAATCCCAATACATTAATTTTGCTTTATGAGTTCACTGAAAAAGATTATGAGAGAGATACCAGAAACATTCGCCACTGACAAATACGGAATATCGTGATTAAATTTCACCATGAATGAATTTTTTTAACTCTATAATATTTGCCTTCCCAGTATTTAGAATTTTATGTCTTCCAGTTTTAGCATTCGATTTATATAAAGAGTAGGTAAGAGTTACCATATTATCCATTATATAATTGCTATACTAGTATCTAGTATGCCTTTCTTTGGTTTCCTCTTTAGTAATAAAAGTTACTTTTCAAAATTAAATATTAGTTTTAACCACACATTTTTTAGAACTTACAATTATTAACATTTATTCACTACTTATTTATATCGACTTATAATTTTAACAACCAAAAAGTAAACCCAAACAATAGCTAAGTGTAATAGTCCGTGATCACAAGGTGTTTCCCTAAAACCATTAATCACTTAGAGTCATTTTAAGTCGAAAGTAGACAACATGAAACAAGAATGTGGGCAAGCTCCACACTTTATTGATGCTATATAGCGAACTTTAATACAAAAACAACGATTTTTGAAACTCGTATAATTTGATCATTTGTAAAACACCCACAATCATCTATGTTGAATTACACTCATTTTAGTTGGCCAAAAGTCTTATAATATCATTTTGAAATTGGTCAAAGCTGTTTAAAATAATTGTCTCACTCGAAATTTAATGGAGTAGTTATATATCTTGATCATGAGTTAATGAAGAAGTCTCTTTTGATGTCAACATTAATAATCAAATACAATTCCATTTGGTTCAAGGTAGGGCCTACGATCCCTTTAGCCTTCACTTTCAAATTCATGCTCCAATATGCTAAAAGAAAATCAAGGACTACTACGACACACCACGAGTTCTTATTTCCTTTCCTTTGTAAAAAAGTGACAGATTCGGTACCTCACTCCCTCTCTCCCTCACCCCCTCCCTCTCTCTCTCCCCCCCTCTCTCTCTCTCTTTCTCTCAGATAGCTATAAATTTCACCCAATCCATGTAAACTGGCATCTAGTTTTACATTTATTAGTAAAAGAACATGGTGGAAGCAATAATTTCAGTGCAATGTTGTATTTTGTATTGAACTAAAGTATGGTTAAAGAAATGAAGAAATAGGTCCAGTTCACACACGGCCACATGGGGCCAGGTCAGCTTTCCCAATCTACAACACGTGCCCGTAGCTTACGATGCAAGCTCCTTTCTTGTGTAACTTTGTTTTGCCCCTTTCACATTTTTACTCCAACTTTGAATTCCTACCCTTAGCATATTCCAATACCAGGACATGATAATTTATGGATCTGATAAGAGAATTAATTTGGATTTAAAGATGTAAATAAAATATGATTGGTATAGTACAAGCATCAGAGAAATGACAGGTATGAAAAATAGGACTAAAAAATAAAAGGAGCTTTTGGTTCTTCAATGTTTTCCCTTAAAGGATTGAATTTCCATTTTATTGAAGCAGAAGCTTCTTTCTACAGACTACAGTTTAGTATTTGCAGATTATATGCAAACAAGACTAGGAAGAAAGAGAGAACTAGCTATACATTGAAGAATATTTAAAACATGGATTAAGATTAAACCAGTGGTACGCACCAACAATACTAATTGATTTACTTCACTCATAGATAAGAATTGTAGCAGTGGAGAAGATAGTTAGCCAGTGTAATAATCTTCTTGCGTTTTGAGTTATAAAGAATTTCTATCTTCTTCATGGCTTTACTTGAAGTTGAACCCACTCATAGCGCCCTTCCAATGGCTCGTCTTTCACTATGTCATAGTTATACCTTCATTGATGTACATTTTCATTAGAAGCGGAATTATGGTTAACGGGTTCAGTAAGAATCCATAGGTTCTTTTACATTTGTGCGTGTATGAGAGGAGAGAGAGAGATTACTTATCAATAAATTTTTTCTGGAGGTCCTTTTCTGCGGCTGCGAAGAATTCTTCAAGCTCCGCTTCAGATGGCAACTTCTCCGCCTCTGGGCAGCGGCGAGAACTCACCTCGTGTGGCTTCGCCGTTGATTCCAGCACGCCTGACTCGGATCGTAACTCGAAGGATGGAGTCTTCTCTTTACTGTAACTAGAAAATTGTACTTTGTTTTGTAAAGAAGGAAAAGTATTCATATTCATAACTGGGAGAGAGAGAGAGAGAGAGAGATTTTGAACGGAGAAAATTAAAAATAAAACAGCCGTTGAGGTTCAATTCTGGAGATTTAAATTTTGAATTGAAGAGAAGAATCACATTTATATCGAAAATTTAATATATATTTACCTCTCATTGCAATCCACCAAATCACCAGTCGATGTTGCAACCTCCTCAACACTCGCTTCATTCTCATTCTGTATTGGAAAACAAATTCAAAATTCGAACCTTCATAAAATAACAATTAGAGCAGTGGAGAAAAAAATTCAATCCATTTTCTGTAACTTCCGTGGAAAATAAATATAGAGAAGATTTAGAATACCTTCAGATCTTGGGAATTGAAACTGTCTTTATCCACCTCACTCAATTCTCTACTCGAGTAGCAAGGTGCTAAAACTTGAATGGAGCTAATGCTCGCGCACGATAAATTTTCAGAAGTCGCCGGTGAAGCTGAATTATCCGGCACCGTGGCAACACGCATAGATTTTAGCGGAACTTCGGACCTGGCTACCTCCAATTCTCCTCCGCGAACTTTTCTCTTTCTCTCCGTCGACTCCTCAGCAGCAGCCTTTGCCGCCGCTAGGGTAGTTCTAGCTCTGGTCATCCTTAAGCCTTCCTCCGCCACCTCCACAGACGCGGTTTCTCCAATCTCCTTACACTTCCTCATGTACCTTCTAAAATCAAATTTCTCGAACCCGAAATTGTATATTGTTCAATTTCCTCTCTACAAAATGCTCAGTTTTTGCAACGGACAACCTGTGAGAATCCTCTTTATTCTGTGTGTACAGATATCCGAATTGTGTGAGCAAGCGAAGGTTCTAGGAATTATCTGCTGTTGCTGCACTTTTTCTGTTAAAAAGTTTTAGAGAGAGAAACAATGAGAGCGAGTGAGTGGGTGATGATGATGACGGAGATGCTAATGGGCAGACTTCTTATTAAGCGTGGTCCAACCTCCATAACAGTAACGGGATTCTTGACGGCTCCGTTACACAGATCTACCTTGAATTTTCCCGTTAAGGTACCAGTAGAACATTTGGCGTAAAAACTGAGAGTTTGACGCGTGTATTTTACTATAGTTGTTACCGGCCTATTGGCCGAGTTATTCGAAACGTATAGCAGTGGATTCACTTTTTCTGTTCAGTCTTCCTAATGACCAGAGCCGTTGGTAACAAACTAATAGTTAATAATGTTCTAAATATTACAATGGATTTTTTTTATTTTTTTTATTTTTCCATAACGTTTTACATCATTTACATTCATTGATGAGATATTCGATATGAACCTTAATAATTGACCTAAAATTAACAAAGAAACTAGGCATTATATCAATATAGTTGTCACACCATCCTTTTTTTCCACGTTTGAAAGCTTTTTTGGTATAACCGTATAGGCATGTGATCTTGGTATTGGTTACCTACTTATCTCGGAAGTGATGTTTACAATCACGCAACTAATTATCAAGGGTTTTGCTAAGTGTACACTGGGTTGACATCCCAGTGTACAAATAGAAAAATCCAATTATTATACCGACATTCTCTTTTTTTTTTCATTTATAAAATTAATATTTATAAAAAGGAGATTTACTATAGAAATTAAAATAATTGCCATGATAAGTGTATGTTATTTACTAAAAAGAAATAAATATGATTGTGGAAGTGGATTGGTAGTTTAGTGCGGCGGAGATCACACGAATATAAGAGCAGCTTTATTAGAAAGTTACCTTAAACTAATTTCATCTAAAAGTTTATCTAGGCAGACAAACCGCTTTCAAAGAATTATACAAACATGCTTAATAATTATTTTCAAAACCCTTACCAAACGGGTCCAAAATGCTTGTTTGGTATATAACTAGTGTTAAGCATATTGTGTTCGCCTCACCTTGAAATATTACCATGCTGGCCTTGGTATACAATTTAATAGTACATTTT